TTTTGCCAAGGGGAGGGAGTTGGAAATGAATGGTTGTCCAGGGCAATTGGTGTCAATTGTTGTTGAACAAATACTGTAAGGAAAAATGCAGTATCATTCAGTGACAACGGGGACTCTTCTATGGCAGAAAATGACATGTATGCCAGGGTTTGGAAGGGGAGAAGCACGGGCCCAATGCAGTTGAGGGAGCAGTTAGGTTTTAAACTAGAAATGTTTAGTGGTAGGGGTTTTCGTGGAAAATCAATGAATTCTGAGTGTAGTGATAGTTTGAGTTTTAAGGAAACCAGTTATAGGCAGAATGAGGAAGAGTTATTGATGAACATAGGAAAGCCAGTGGCATTAGGTGATAAGGAGAGTAACAGGTATAGTGGAGGAACAGAAATAAACAGGAAGAAAAAAGAGAAGGGAGGGTCCTTAAATATGTATTACACAAATAGTCGTAGTGCTAGGAATAAGATGGACGAGTTGAGACTAGTTGCTAGTGCAGGTAACATTGATGTATTTGCCTTAACTGAGACGTGGTTCAATACGAAAAATCGGGACATGCCTGCTGAATGTCACATACGGGTTTTAAATTGTTCCAAGTGACAGAAGTATGGGGAAAGGGGGGGTGGGGTTTGGCACTTTTATGTCCGAGATCGCTTGAACTGTTGCATAAAAACGGGAAATTAAGTCTGAGAAACACATTCAGAGTCAGTTTGGATAGAACTTCAGAGGGACATGGGAATTGATTTAAAAACATAACATAGAAAGAAGGGAACACTGCAAAAAGGGGGCTACTGACCTGCAGAGCAGGTCCATTTTCCCCCCGGATTAGTATATGACCCCCCCCCCGGAAGCCCAATGACCCTCCCAGTCTGATCATCTCCACTCAAGGATGGAGCACTGCACCAGACCCAGCAGCACAAGCTAGTCAAGTCCAACTCACACCCACCCACACCCACTCATGTATTTATCTAACATATTTTTAAAACTGCACAACGTTTTAGCCTGAGTAACTATACTCAGGAGTTTGTTCCACTCATCCACAACTCTATTACCAAACTAGTACTTTCCTATATCCTTTCTGAATCTGAATTTTTCCAATTTGAAACCATTGCTGCGAGCCCTGTCTTTCCATTCATACACCTCGATCATATCCCCCCTAATTCTACGCCTTTCGAGAGAGTGCAGATTCAGGGCCCTCAGTCTATCCTCATAGAGAAGATTTCTGATACATGGGATCATCTTTGTCATCCTCTTCTGTACGTTTTCGAGAGCATTTATATCCATTCTGTAATACGGTGACCAGAACTGAGCAGCATAGTCTATATGAGGCCTAACCAAGGATATATTGAGTTGAAGAACAACTTGAGGACTTCTATTATTTATACTTCTAGATATGAAGCCAAGAATTCTGTTAGCTTTATTGCGAACACTAATGCACTGTTGTCTTGGTTTTAAATTACTGCTAACCAGAACTCCTAAATCCTTTTTGCACTCAGTAGTATTAAAATCTACATTATTTAGTTTATATGTGGCATGGTTATTTACCTGTCCAACATTTAGAACTTTGCATTTGTCAATATTAAACTGCATCTGCCACTTCTCCGACCATTGTGGAGAAATTTTCTCCAGGAGGGGGGTATCAGCCCCCTTCAGCCCTTTCAGCCCCTTCAGCCCCTTTCCCCCTGAGGGGCCAACCCCTCTCAGAAGGGGCGAGCGTCTTGTTTACTGCTAGAGTGAGTAATTGATCACAGATGCTATGCCACGTAGTCAAGTGACCTCTGCTCCTTGCAGCGGTTTTTGCAAAGTGTATTTTTATAAGAGACAGTACATCTCTTACTTAGCAGGACAATTAAGGAAAATCCTGCTCCCACTTTATTACCATAGTAAAGATAGTGTACATTGTTGTCTACGCTTAAGACAGCAAGAAACAAACATTCTGCTTTGCTTCATCAAAGAGGTGAAAAGGATGCAAGGTACTAGGTCAGCGTTTTTTTTTTTTTTGCCAGGGAGTGACGGCTTGGGGCGGTTGGGGCGACGCCAGACTATCTTTGACTCTATGGGAGAGTGACACTGCGCCAGGATTTCTGATCTGTGCGTTAGTGTGAACAAAGTGTCTCAAACACATAAACACTTAAGAGAAGGGGTGAGGGAGCTTCTCTTGTGATACATTGTGAACAATAAAGACCCAAAACTTGTGGAACATAGTGTACCAGTTGTGATTTCCTAGACAATGGAAAAACGTGGACATCCAAGGACACTTCAGCTTCTATCAAGTCACCGATACCTGTCGAAGGTGTTGAGAACACCATAGCTCACGTTAAAAAGAGCAAGGTATGTTACGAATTTCCTGTAGATGGGGGGGATTGCGCAATTCTTGAGTCACAAGGAGTTGTAATCAACTATAATCGGCAGTAAGGTGTGGACTTTTGAGTCCAAACAAGTAGGTATTTCGTCAGCCATCATCGAATGAAATATGCTGACATAACACCCCCTAGGGGTAATTTATACTTACAAATTGTATCTCTTGACAGCCCAATGTTGTGATGGTTTCGACAGCTTCTAGACCTCGTCTGCAGGGGCGGCTGTGTAGACGATTTGCTGTCATTTATCAGCTAAGTGTTCATTATATATAGTTATAATAAACACAGCAGGTAAGGCCAAAATCTTCAACAACCATTGCATCAATCTATTCAGATCATCCTGGAGTGCTCTAGTGTCCTCATTAGAATGAATTGGACGGCCTATTTTGGTGTCATCAGCAAATTTGCTTATGTCGCTATTTATTCCCCACATTTATGTCGTTTATGTAATTGTG